ATGCCCCAGTCAGTGAAAGTGTGTTTCCTACCCCTAGACCCCAAAGGGTTAACCAGTTTACTGTATGTATTTGTGTCAATATCATTAATGTAAATTAGGAACAATAGCGGTCCTAAAATTGAACCCTGCGGTACCCCACTATGAACGGAGGCCCACTGTGACATTGTGCCTCTAATAACTACTCGCTGCTTCCTGTCAGTTAGCCAGTTTTCGATCCAAGCTGCCACAGTTCCTAAAATCCCTGTTGCTTTAAGCTTTAGCAAGAGCCGTTTGTGGGGGACAACATCAAAGGCCTTCTGGAAATCTAAGTAAATCACATCATAGGCCTTTTTGTGATCAATTTCACTTGTAGCTTCCTCAATCTTGTAAAACCCCCAGGTATCATGTAAAGCTTCCTTAAAGGGGCAGAATCATCCTCCTGTAGAACGTACTGTACTATACTGCCTGTGTTATGGTTCAGAACCATCCTCCTGTAAAATGAAATTAACCCATAATTACTCATACCATGCTTCCTTGGTGACAAATGAAAACAAAAAATGATAGATAATTTTGAGTAAATGAATAGACAATATTTGTCACTATGATTTTAGTGTTCAGAGATTCACTGCTGCCACTGTAACGGAAACATTAATTGGGCAGATTTTCAGAGGAACCCTGTTATCGCTGGTACAGAAGAATGGAAATAGCTTCTCAGTGAAAGTGTCCTTAAAAGTGTAAAGAGGAGTGTTGTTACTGGGATCAGAGAATGACAGCTCTCCCCTGTCCCAGTCCAGCTGCACTCTGATCCTCTGGGGTTTCCTCCCCACAGACAGAAAGGCATGTGGTGAGGTCTTTGCTGTGAATTTACCATTATGCAGCTCTATACTCCATACGCCCCCTTCTGGCATCAGAGGGAAAAGCCCCTTTCTTTTGATGGACTCTCTAACCACACCCAAGTTCCAGCGTGTTCCGTCCCCCACTTCTACATCCCAGTAGTGTTTCCCTGAGCTGAATCCTTCAGATCCCAGGATGCCCCTCCATACATCAAACCTCCCCGGGGGATCAGGCAGTTTCTGTCTGAAATCATTGTATATTATGCTCTTCAGGTCCTTTGCCAGCATTAGATTTCTGTGTGCTGTGTTTGGGTCCAGAATTATAGGAGCTGAAGGGAAAGGAGAGGGAGGGAGAGAGAGGGACACACACATATCAGTATTGGGTTCATACAGCAGTATTCTTGAACGCTCCCGTCCCCCATAATTCATCTGCACAGAGATTATGGAACTGCTCCATTCTGACATCTTCTACTCACTGTATTTAATCTCATTCTTCTCCAGCATCTTCTCCCACACTCTGTAGCTCAGGTTGCCCAGGTGTTTGGCCACATTAATCAGGGCTCCTGAAACCTCCACTGGATCCCGCACTGGACACTGGGCTCTGTAACAATGTTCAGCAGTAACAGTAGATGTTTCACCCTCTGCCCAGATGTCAGCCCCACGGACAGTAAGCAGTCTGAGGCTCATCCACAGGAATCTCAAACTAACTCCATAATGGCAATTTTTTACAACTATGAAAATATGAAGCATTTCACACTAAACTGTAGGAGAGACACTGGAGTTTCCTTACCTTCTCTGTGTTTCCTTATATTTCTGAAAGGGAGTAAAGAAGATTAATATCA